AACCTCTCAAATGTGATGGTCCCATGTAGGGTTGCTTATGGGTTGGATTGATCGAGTTGAAGACATTTGAACAACCCAACATAATGCTTGCAGTTTGAAAAATCTTAATTCAACCCAACCCAACATGTACGGGTTAGTCAGGTTGGTTAGGTTGATATTTTGGTACATTAAAATATTCTTCTAACCTTGAATATGTTATTTCTCTACTCATAATTTCTTTTTCATCATCAACTATTTGATATAACTTATTCATACTTCTTATATATATCACATTTAGTTAATTTTCTCAATTTACATATATATGTTCACAGTTACTGAACATATATACGAATGAGTTATATAGAGATGTGAATAGATTGAAAATATGTGTATATGAAGAGCATACATGATAGTGTAATTGTCTAATGTATATATATTAAAAAAATTCAACTATCATATTAAATCCAAGAAATAAAAGGATATCGGGTTCATCGGGTTGGGTTGGGTTCAAATAATAGTAACATAACATCAACCCAATACTTACGCGCGGTTTGACAATTTTGCAACTCAGTTAGACATCGGGTTGCTTCGAGTTGAGTTATTTCGCGTTGGGTTGGGTTGGGTTGATTAGATTGATCGGGTTTTTGAACACCCATAACCCATGATATATAATCCATTCAACATAGATTTAATTGAGAAACGTACATATTTAAAAAACTTGAAATAACAATTTATTAATATAAATAATATTTTAGGGTTATTCATTATGAATAATTCATGGGTCTTTTAAATATCTGTAATTCTCATTTAAACTCATCCCATACCCGACCATGTTGAATAGAAAAATCACAACCTTTCAAAGTTCAAGTACAGATACATCTGTCATCAAATATTTCAAGGTCTGAACTGACATCTCCTCAACATAACCCCGAGCGTATATCTGTTGTTTGTTAGTTATTATGATGAATAAAATATCACTGAATGAAGGACATTGACATTTGGTGCCCGAAAGAAAACGCATTATATTTCGTACAAATTTATTTGGAATATCGAAAAATAAAATAATATAAATTAATTCGTTTCCAAAAAAAATATTTCAATAATAAATCTACCGTCTTATATGTTTCGTTTCTTTATTCCAAGTTGTTATACATCTGCATCACCATGCGTCACAAAAACAATATGATGATATTGACACAATAAATTGAATGTTTTTTAAATTATGGAATAAATATATATATATATATATATATATATATATATATATAAAACTGTTTTATAAGATTTAAGTTTATATAATGAGACAATAAAGAGTGTTACAATAAGTTTATATGATGTTTTTAGGTGTTCTGACAAATTTGTTAAGACAGTTTTAAATTGATTTCTTGTATTAGTTATTTTATATGACATTATTTGAACGTGTTCTATAAAAAGTTGGGTTAATAAAACACTTCTCAAAAGTGTCATATAAAATAACTAATACATAAAAGTGTCACAAAAATTTGTTTAAATATTATAAGCGTTCAGTAAATTTATTGTTACATTTTTAGATATAAGGTTTTATTGTTTGGACTTATGAACTTATAAAATAATATATTAAGACACTTACTTATTTTTAGTATCCTGTAAACCTAAATTTGTTGTAGTGTCGTTTAGGGTATGTTTGGTGTCAGGACAGGATAGAACAACTGTTCAATGTTTGGTAAGATAGAACTGGACAAAATAGAACAAGTAAAATGACCAATTTACCCCTGATGAGTTGTTTATTTTAATTAATTTATGTAATTTATTAAATTATAATATAATAACTATTTTTTATAACAAAATATATCATTTGAAAATTTTCTCAAAACAATAAAAATGACACCAAATAAAAAGTTTATGTAGTTTTCTATTTTTATTTTTATCTCTTTTTTACATTATTTTTTATTATTAATATATAATAAATTACATAAATTAATAAAAATATAGAAACTGTATAAAAAATAATATTTTGAGGACAGTAAAATGAAATTTTAAGAAACATAAAATACAATAAATAAAATTTAAAGAATGAATAAAATGTAAAAAAAGAGATCTATTTGATGTTTTAGAAGAGAATTAAGTTTTATTTTGAGGTTATATTAGTAAAATATATCCACCTTGTTCCCTGTGAATGCGTCTAAATTCAAGGGCGGTATATGTCCAGATAGATATTAATTCACAAATCTTCAAAACGTTACAAGATTAAAAGGACACACTTGCAAGAAAGTTCTTCTTTCAAGTTATGACTCGATAACTTTAGTCACACCATTTCCCTTCGTCTTCTGTCTGGACCAGATTTTCTTTACGTACCATCTCTCCTAGAATCGTCTGAGTAATATTATTTTGTATAAACTACTGTAACACCTTTACGTAATTGTAGCTCATTCTTGTTTAGCAGGCAGGCAAAAAACACAGTAAACGTCTATTTCAACTATATATCAGATAACTCGAGAAATATGGGTTTTTTACGTTCCATGACTTGCTAAAATGAAAACAAACGTTATAACTAATGAATATCATAAACATCCCTTTTAACATTAAGATATCTTTCCAACCTTTGTTTTTGACATTTGGCAAATCATAGATTTCATGCTATAAACATGTTCGGAAATGGTTAATCACGAGTTTAAAAGAAAACATACGGTTTATTGCTTTCATATCGTAAAAAAGTTTATCTCGTGATCGAATTTGTATAGTTTGGATCTCGAGGAGCAAAACGATAATGCGTGTCCGTTGTTTGTTACTTAGGAAGATAAACAAATGGCTCAAGAAATGAAGAACACGAACAGACGCAAAAGACAAGATGTTATATTTCGAACATACTTCTTTTAATTACCAACAACAAAAATAATATTAAATAAACTCGTTTTGGAAATAATAATATTAAAAATGTATTGTGTTACAGACGAGAGAACATGTAAGAAACAACAGTTATGGTGAGAATGATGATAATGTTTCTGAGATTTTGGATGAATTGACTTTTAATCTATTAATTTCCTTCAACTACTTTCAGTACCTTCAACTACATCATTTACTTTTGTTTTCAAATTTATCTTCAGTTTTAAGCCATTTTCACGTACTTTTGTATGCATTCAATCACTTTCACATGAATGAATTTGTTAAAGTTTCGTTCATGATCATTAAAATAGGTAAATAAAGATAGATGAATGTAGATGAAGGTACATTAGGGAAAATCGTAAAAAATGAAAAACTAAGAAATATCATGATAACCTTTCATCTGGATGGTATGCATATGTGCATACAAGTAAATTTAATCAATTTGTCTGATATGCACATGTGCATAAAAACCAAGAAACAATTCCAATTACCAGTTTGCACATGTGCATACCGTCTAGATGAACTATTATCAGAGTGTTACTCAATTTTTAATTTTTTTTAGGTTTTCCCCTAACCTCCATCTCTCTCTCTCTCTCTCTCTCTCTCTCTATATATATATATATATATATATATATATATGTGTGTGTGTGTGTGTGTGTGCACGCACATACATACATACAAATATATATACACACACACACATCTATATAGATGAATGATCGTGTGAGAAATAGAATTAAGGTGGGAAATGTAAGAAAACATCTAAACCCTTGATCACCTTTAATCTTAAACTCACTCATAAATCGGGCTAGGTATGGGGATTGATCTAGTGCATCTCGACGAATCTCATTCCTAATATACATCCAATGGTTGAGATCTCGTCTTACGCTTCTCACTTTAGCTCTCATTCTCACTAAAACACAACCCATATAATTATTAACATTTTACGATATGTTTTTTTAGTTGATATTCAAATAAATTGATTTTTTAATAACAAAAGAAAATATATGAATAATTGGTTGAAATGGTGGATTAATTGGTTGAGTATTAGATAAAAAGATTGGATGAATCTAATTTGATCCAAGAGCTATTTGGATGGAACCGATTCAATCCAATTATCTATTGGTTACGAATCGGATTGGATGTCCAATGTTAATCAGATTGGATCGAATGACAGAATCCAATATCCAATGGATGAGTGGATCGAACCGATTCAGATCTACCTAAATAATTTGGATTTCAACCGATGAACACCTCCATTTTTGGGTGTTTTAACTAGTTTTTTAGGAGACTTTTAAATTAAAGAGTTTTATTAGCTATTTTATAGAACATTTTTTAAAAGTGTCATGGAAACCCATTTTCTTATAAGACACTTGTTTTATATGAAATTTTCTTAAATAATGTCGTATAATAGCTAATACGACACTTTATTATCAAAACGTCCTAAAAAAAACTTTTTAAAATGTTTAAAAGTGTCTTATAAATCTATTGTAACACTTTTAAATATGACGCTTTTTGTTTTGGTCCTATAAACTTAAGTCCTATAAAATATTTTTTTATGACGCTTAGGACATGTTTGTTTTTTTCAAAATTGCCTCTTAATATCTCTGAAGTTTGATTTGCTCAGACGTTGGGTATTAAGAACGTTTGTTTTTTTAAATTAGAGCTTAAAAGCTTTAAATGTCATCTGATATTTTAAGTGGTAAAAAATGTATCCCTCAATAGCTTTTAATCTTAATCCGCCCTCTATCAAATGGTTCATATTTTGGGGACTGAAAGAGATTTGTTAGCAAAAACTATTTTATCTTTTATATTTTTGCACTAGTTTAAACTGTTCAGATTTCAGACTTCAAACATAAAACAAACAATATTACTGATCCAGATTTTACATTTCAACACCACCTCTTATAAATCAAAAATGAAATCAGACTTCATGTCACTTTAGACATTTTTGACGTCCTATGAATCCAATTTTGTTGTACTGTATCCTAAAAACTAGTTAAAACACTAATATATCATAAGCCTACTGTAACATTTTTAGATTAGACCGTTCAAATATTTGATCAAATAAATCAAATATCATAAGAAGTATATTACGACAACTCGTATTCCCTTCCACGAGCAGCCTTAACAACTTCAAGCTCTTTTATATAATTAAATGTAACGAATACAAATGCATTGAGAACAAAATTATGTATATATTTATACAAAATTAACATGTGCAATCGGAACCCCTCCGGCCCTCCCCCAAAAAGACGGTGACACCGGAGAGAACGATGTATCCATTCTCGACGGATCATCAATGGCAGTTTTTCAAGCCGGCCGTTTGTTTCACACAAATTCAAACCGATCGAATTCGTTGTGTCTGCGCCACCGTTCTAAACCCTAAATGCTATCAATCAACGTATGTTCAACTAAAAAACGAACCTGAATCTTCAATAGGATCTGGTATCAACGGAATGAATCTCAAAAGCATCATCAGACGATGTCAAAGAGCAATTTGTATCTGTACGATTCGTATTAGAGTTCTCAGTTTGACCTTCTTTCTGGCTTCCTTCACCTTGCATCTGATTTCGAAAGTCTCTCATGGCTCTGAACCTCAGATCTTCGGAGTAACCGCTTGCTGCCGGAACTATTTCAGGTACACAAGTTTTTCCCTCGAGCATATTTACTACTTCCGACATCGTCGGCCTCACTGACGGAGATCCGTTGGTGCACAGAAGTGCTACTTTCACAACGGTTTCTGCTTCTAATTTGTTGATCTTCGACTCCAATCTCTCGTCAAAAAGCTCTTCGTATTGTTTACTTGTTTCCAATCGACAAGCCTGCATTATCGGTTCCAAAAATCAATATCCAAAAATCAAATATCGATGTGCTCTGGCAAAACTGTATGATTTTATCAAGTTCTTTTTCCCGAAAAGAGAACATGATTTTAGGATTTCAATGTAAAATCACATATGATTTAATATTTTCATGTTATATTTTGACCATTGATCATATCAAATTGGTTGTTTATATTTCTACTAGAAACTTCAGGTTGACTTTTAAATCTTGAAAAAGACTAGTTTTTGGTAGAAAAACTAATGGATAAACAAGTCACTGTTTGGTCTAAAAAGACATGTTAAAAACTTAATTGAAAAAATGTAAAAAGCATTATAAGGGTATTCGCATAATGTAACAAGATATATTTTGATTTTAATGTTTTATTTTATTCATTTTCTTTATTGATATAATACAGTTTTATATTGTTTTAGAAAAAAGGTAATATTTTATATTAAATTAACGATTTAAAAGTTTTCGTTTTTTGTGTAATTTTTTTAATTCAAGTTATTATTATAATTTAATTTAGATTTAATAAAAAATAATTTATTTTTGATTTAATAATATAAGTATAAAGATAATAATTAAACATTTTGTTAGAACTCAATGATTATCTTAACTATATTTTAGATTTTCTATATTTAAAATGGATGTTTATCTTGTATTTGATTATATTTATTAATAACTAGAAGCATACTCGCGCAATGCAGCGAGATATATCGTGATTTTAATATTTCATTTTATTCTTTATCTCAGTCGATGTTATAATATGGTTTTATGTGATTTTAAGATAGCGATGATGTTTTTATTTTTGAATAAAACATATGTTTGAAGATATCATAAAAATTTGACAAAAATATATCGATATTAGTATCAAATTAACTATTTAAAATTTCTCATTTTTTTTGTAATTTTTTTATTCAATTTTTTTATAATTTAATTTATGTACAATAACAAAGTAATTTATATTTGATTTAATAATATAATTTTTTATAAAAATAATAATTATTTATTTTGTTGGAACTCGATATTTATTGTAATTATATTTTAGGTTTTTTATATTTTAAAATGAGATGTTCATCCTCTATTTGATTATGTTTATCCGCAGTTATTTATACGAATTCAAACATCGAGCTTTAATAAGTTGTANATTTTTGTTTAATAATATAATTTTTATAATGATGATAATTAAGTATTTTGTTAAAATTTAATGATTATTTTAATTATATTTTAATTTTTTATATTTAAAATGAGATGTTTATCATGTATTTTATTATGTTTAACCGTAGTTAGTTACACGAATTAAAAAATAAAGCTTTAACAAGTTGTAATTATGCACAATTTATTTGTAATGTTGAATTTTAAATAATATGTATCAATAAATAATACTTCATGTATAAAATATTGTTTTTAAGAGTTTTTATCAAATATTTTATAATATATATAGATAATTGAAAAAAGGAATTGAAAAATCATCTGGAATTTTATTGAAAGGTTACTTATAAAATTCTAAAACGTTAGCCTTTGAAACTAACATGAGTTTTATAAAGAGTAAACTACAAATATGGCCCTTATGGTTTGTCAGAAATAACACTTTTTGTCCTTATAGTTTTAAAATTACAAGATGATCATTCTAGTTTGTAAAAAACATTTCAATTTGCCTTTTTCTAACGATCGTTAAAAAAGTTCCATTAAAAAGAATCGATAAAAACACTTTTTTTTTCTTTTTATCGATTCTTTGTTTTTTACCCAATCAAAATCAATTTTATGATTTTGTTCTCTGTGGTTTTTGATTGGGTAGAAAACAAAAGAAATCGATAAAAAGACAAAAATGTTCTTCATTTCACAAATTTTTTAACGATCATAAAAAGAGACAATCTGAACGTTTTTACAAACCACAATGACCATCTTGTAATTTTGGAACTGCAATCGCCAAACATGACCGAAACGTTCTACTCAAAAACCATACTAGTTTTGGATTCGATTTTGGATGGAAAAAGTCAAATGTTTGACCACGAAAGTCGAAGATTCAACAATGAAAATGCAATACGTACCCAGTCTAGAAGACAAATGCAATCGTTGGTCGGAATGTAACTGTTGTTGTTCTTGCCACTAACGATTTCTAACACCACGACTCCGAAGCTGTAAACATCCGCCTTGTCGCTCAAGTAACCCCAGAGGGCATACTCGGGTGCCATGTATCCACTGCAAATCCATCAAAATTTCATTAACCAAGACCGTCACTAAAAAACGGAATAAATAAATAAATAAATCGGATTTCTTTTGTAAATGTTTGGCAACTGTGGGTGCCCAAGCCAGCTTAGGCACACCTAGACTAATCCCATAGACCCTGGAGTTAACCGTCAAATAAACCCTCCGGATCGTTCTTGGCCCTAAGAATTGATGACATCATATCTTAGCAGTTAAACTATCCCTCAGTGTTGGTTTTTTGTAAGAATTGAGAATTACATTGTTCCGGCTACTCGGGTGCTAACGTGAGTCTTCTCGTCCTCGTTTAGTCTGGCCAATCCAAAGTCCGATATTTTCGGATTCAGATCTTTATCAAGTAGCACATTCGTAGCTTTGATGTCCCTGTGTACAATTTTGAGCCTCGATTCATCGTGAAGAAAAGCTAAACCTTTCGCGATCCCGATGCATATCTTGAACCTCGTGGGCCAATCCAGCATTAATCTACTTTTCTTCGAATCTACGTCAATAACAATAAGTTCACATTATGAAATAAAGAAACCGGATCGAAAGAGAAAAAACCAAACAGACCCAATAAATCCCACTCGAAAATAGGCTATGAGGCACACGGGGGCCCGTTAGGTGGCTGGCTTAAAAGCCATGTGCCCACGAGGAGCCCAATCCCCAAAGGAACTGTAACTCCCATACTGCGGCTGTCAGACTCGAACATTCATCTGTTTGTTGTGCAAGTATACCACCCCAGAATCAACTGTGTTACGCTCTAGGGGTCGGAAAACAGACCAAAGAACACTCACCAAACAATGCATTTGCAAGGCTATTGTTTTCCAAATACTCGTAAACAAGCAACAATTGGTCTCCTTCGATGCAGCATCCATGGAGTTTAACAAGATTCGGATGTTGTAAACACGAAATCACACCCATCTCGTTCAAGAACTCACGGTTTCCCTGCTTCGAATGAGACGAAAGCTGCTTCACCGCGATGACCGTGCCATCAGGCAACGTACCCTGCAACCATCATAGACATGTTATAAACACAAAACTGCAACCAACATAAACAACTCCTCCCCATCAGTCGCCAGTTCGAGTCTCCGGATATTTTTTTTCCGGGCTGTTATCTTCAGGGCCTCATGGGATTAGTTGCAAAAGCGGGCCCAAACACCCACGATTACCAAAACACACACACACAACCACAATCACCGGAACGTCCATTTTTGTGCTAACCTTGTAAACGGCCCCGAAACCTCCTTCCCCAACTTTGTTTGAAGCGTTAAAGTTGTTTGTAGCGGATTTCAATTGTTTCAAGGAAAACGAAAGCGTTTTCAGCTCAATTCCTTCGAAATCTGTTCAAGAAAAGCATAGAGCATGAGCGAAGAGTTGAACAAGTTGATCAAGAAAGTTAAAGACGACGATTCTTTTACCTTTATCGTTCGTTTTTCGGCCTCTAAAACATTTTTTCCGCCATAGGAAGACCAAGATTAACAATACAAGACAAGGAACAGCAATCCCGACACCGATATAAACACCTTTGCTCGCCTTTTTTCCACCAGCCGAACAAGTTTTAAAATCTGCACAACGAAGTTGACATCATGAACGGGAGTAAACATGGAAACGAAAAAAAAGCAAACTTTAAGAAGAATTTAGACAAAACAAGCGAGTCCGTTATATCCCACCGAGAGGTGGGGTCCGATGGGGTAAAATGTATGCAGATCTAACATCTACCCTAAAGAAAGAGCAGAGCAGTTGTTTCCATGAAGACTTCCGGCTAGTGAAAAGTGTGTGAAAGGGAGTTGAGAATATATGAAACCCTACTAGATTACTCTCCAAAAGAACCCTTAACGACAAAATGGATGTTCCAACATATATTGCAGATAAATTATTCAAGTTTAGCTGATGCGGAACTCTAACACGCCCCCTCCAATGGAGGCTAGAAGGGCTCAGATTGTCCAAGAATTGCAACACTGGGTAGACAAGTAGACCTTGCTCTGATACCATGTAAGAAAATACGTGGAATCCCATTAGGTTATTCTCCAAAAGAGCACTTAAGGAGAGAAGGGATGGTTCAACATACATCAAGGATAAATGGTCCAAGTCTAACCGATATGGAAGTCTAACAGACAAAAAGACTGATGCTGAACTTGGAAACAAGGTAAGATTTCGGTTCTAGAACATGAAATTTGGCAATCCTTACGAGGGTTAACATCGATAGCCGATACAAGAGGTCCGTAGACTCCTCTTTTAGGAAAACGCGTCGTCCCTTTACCCGCCCAGTAAAACCGTATCTCCAGTATGTTATTAGTCACACTAGCATTGAACGGTATGACCACCGATCTTCCAAACCCATGGGCCTCGTCTTCAATATTAAAGTCCCTTCTAACAAGTCGTCCCTAAATCACATAGAAACTTAGTTAGCAATTCCGGTGACACATTTTACAGCCGTTGGATTGACCAATCACAATCTTCATTAAGCCATCTAACGGCCTTCAACAAAATCGGTTTTATAGGATGTTAAATATGTCTAAATGTCCTAATAAACTGCTTTATAGCACTTGGTTATATAGAACCAAACAATTGTGCGTCCTATGTAAAGGTGTTACAATAAGTTGATAAGACATTTTTAGGCTTCTTAACAAGTTTTTTAAGATACTTTTTGAAATAAAGCGTCCTATTAGTCTTTTTATATGACATCATGTGGAAAAATGTCTTATAAAAACAAATATCTTATCAACTTACTGCAACACTTTTATATATGATACACAATTGTTCGGTCCTATAAACTTAAGTTCTATAAAGCAGTCTATTAAGACACTCAGACATATGTGGGGTTGTATAAAAGCACACTTATTTTCGAACACTTTGTATTACCTGAATATAAATATCAAATATCCGCCGGCCAAGATTTCTATACGTGCTATCGTTAGTGAATTGTATTTCTGCAAAGTGCAGATCAACACCATATTCACCGTTTTCCAAACAATAGCTGAAGTAAGTGAGCGTCATCGGCGAGAGGCGGGCGGTGGTATATAGCGGCGGTAAGGTGGTGTTCCCCTGAATAGAGTCTATGTATCGGGTGTTCTGATAAATGTTGTCATCCATGAAGTCTCCGGTGCTACTAAATCCCCAGTTTCGGGTGGTGGTTTCGTACAATTTGGCGGCACCACCATCAACATTGGCGTCTCCTTCATAAAGAACCGACTGCCCGTTACTTTGTGTAACCATCAAATCATCCCCGCCACAATTCACATGTAAAGAACAAGTGTCTGGCATAATATCAAAAAACGGAGCTACGTCATGAAGAAAACATGTGAATCAACAGATTAAATATGTATAAAGACCACTAATGTCGTGTAGAGTCGTAGTTTGAGGTTCGTATCTCTAGTTATGCCATCGTTTCTAACTACACTACAACAAAATCGGTTTAATAGGACGTCAAATATGTCTAGGGCCTAATTATTAGCAGCTTAATGAGACTCACTGCTTATTCAGTCTGCTATACATGATTGTCTGGTGGTTTCATAATAATATAGAAAGTGGCTTATTCAGTAAAGCCAAGTTTTCCCAATTGAAAAACACATTCCTTCCGTCTATAAAAAAACTCACTCAAACAAAACCTTTTCACAATCCATACAGACACAGATTAATCCACACAGTTTTATCCATACATGGCTTAATGGAAAACCAACCAAACAGCCGCTTAATAGAACTTAAACTTATAGGACCAAACAATTGTGCGTCCTATGTAAAGGTTTGATAGAACGGTTTTGGGCGTCCTAACAATCTTTTAAGGACAATTTTGAAATAAGGCGTCCTATTATTCTTTTTATATGACATTATTTGAAAAAATCGATAAGAACTTGTATAAACCATGAAGTTGTAGTCAACTTTTTTGTTTACGTGTGTGTGTGAGAGAGATTTTTCGGCTTTTACCCGTCTATGCTCAACGGATGGATATTATCATGGATTCAAAGATGAAGAATACTCACATCTCGGACACTCGATATCCTCAGCACACGGAAGCACGTCTTGTCTGTTGAGAATGTCATCACAAGAGCAAAAAACGTTAAATACGTTCGAAAAACGAAGATGAATAAAAACCGGGCTTTCTCAAGTGGCCGGGACTTGTTCTAAGTAACCTACAGGTCTTGAATTCAAATCCCGCAACTTTTAGCCACCAAACTAGACGATATAAAAGGAAAAGCAATGGCCAATTGAAACTGTCTTACATCGGGTTTCCTGTTGAAGAGCTTCTGAACAAGTTTACGTACCAATTCCTGATATAGCGACACGCGAAGAACAAGTTATCACAGAACAAACTTCCAAGAACATCCCGAGTAGCATATGAGTGTCATCTAAAACATGTTTTTCATTACTTCTCACACGTATATAGGACTATGTGCCCGTGGGCCTAGACCACGTGGATTAGTGGCGCCTTCGGGTTGCCGATACCACTTTCGAAAAAGATCAAACTCATAAAGGCTCACAATTCTAGCTCAGAACCAATGCGGCACGAGATATCACAAGAAGAGTCCTTACGTGTTTTGTCGGCATGTGGGTTGATTAGGTCCTTGCCATGTCAAATTGTTGTAAGAAAGATCACTGCACCAAATTAGTAGAATAAATACGTTAATTTATTTATAACTAAGCGTGTGACACGAACCGTTAACATAAGCATTCACGAAATGAACTTACATACTAGCCCCGTTCACCAAAAGTGCATCCGGTATGTCACCACTTAGCATGTTACCGGTTAAAAATCTGTTCAAAACGACATCAAGACACTTACTTAGATATAACCAAACGAAACCAAACAAACCAAGTATATCTCAGCCAAAGGTAGGGTCCGGGAGTGGTAAGATGTATGCAGACCTTACCTCTGTCTCAAAACACAGAAAGACTGTATCCGATAAGACCCCCGGCTTGCTGGTAACCTTACCGGTTTCTATGAGGCTTGCTTTTTTTTGCCACGGTGATAACGTAATAATAGAAAATGGAACACAAGAAATCTTGAAAATTTACTAAAAGTTCTCGTTTTCACACTTACACTAATCGCAAGCTTCTCCCGAGGATGTCGTTAGATATTCTCCCTACTAAGCGGTTAAAACTTGTGTCCCTTTCGAATTCACGGAGGAAAGGATGTCATTGAACATATAGATCATGAAGAATTAGAAGAACAACGACCCATGTTATGTGTACTTACAACAATTCAAGTTCTCTCACTTGCCAAATATAAGCCGGTAATTCTCCAGAAAGGTTGCAATTTCTCAAGATCCTAAATTTATGAATGAAATATCAGATTATGTATGAGTTAAGACAAACGTCAATGCGGGAATTATCTACTTACAATCGTATTAATCCCGTAGCATTGTTGAGTGGAGGAAATCCCTGTGTCGGTCCAGTTATGTCACTAATTCTCCTGCAAAACATGCGGCATCATGAGCTAATCACTTTCATGACACAAAAAAGGAGTTCCATGACGAACAAACGCTCTAGAACGGATTCAAGAAGAGGGGAAAAGTTCAAATGAGAACCAAGAGTTTCATGCATTATTCATTATGAATAACCCTGAATAATCATGAATATGATGCATTTTCATAATTTATGATATCATGAATATCATTCATATTTTCTTATAAGTATCATGTATATTCATTATGAATATCTTTCATCATGAATATCTATCACGATATTCATCATGAATAGTTGGTTCTCAGATCCTCAAAATATTTACGTTCTCATTTGAACTTGTATCTTAAGAAGAGATTCCTCACTCACAGATCAACTAGGTTCTCGAGAAAAGATATGTTTGAAGGAATAGGTCCGCCAAGTCCACTCGCCATAATCTCTCTTCAAAAACATCCAAAGATAAAAAATTATGACGTTTACGATACCTTGTAACGAATTATCACACTAAAAACGTATAGCATCTTACAATCTAGAGAGCAGTCTCCAGTTTTGTATAAAATCAGGTATCAACCCATTGAAGTTGTTTTCGTTTATCCTACTGCAAATCATACACGATAAAGATTCACACTTTTAGCCATGGAAATCTATCTCAATCTTGAAGTTGAAGAACGGTAGCTCTTCTTCGAACGAAAGGGAATAAAAGGAAAAATAGTTTACAAATTTGTTAGATTTCCAAGTTGACCAAGGGCCGTTGGCAGCCTTCCCGTCAACCGGTTTGAGGACAAGATCCTGAAAATTAACATCATGGAGTAAATAAACTTAGACGGGTTCCGATTCTTGAGCAAAATAACTTGATAAGTGCAAGAAAACGGATAAAAATCCGTTGTCTCGAATTCCCACGTCTCATCCCTAATGATGTGTATTCATGTGATTGGTGGACGAGAATGGGACGTGAAAATTTGGGAATTCGAGATTTTTATCCAAAGAAAGCATGCAATCAAAAAACTTAATCAGCCTTACAAAGACTTCAAATTGATCAATCTCCCCAAATCACGAGGAACGGTTCCTGAAAGCTGGTTTGCTTCAAGATCCCTGATTAAGAATTTTTAACCAGATGAGTATATGAAACCGAATAAAAAACAGAGATTATATTATGAAACTATCTAAAGAATTTTACCCATATGGTAAAACGTTGAATTGGGTGGTAAAAAGGTAATAAAGAAGGCGAAAACTTACAGTTTTGTTAGGGTGGTGATATTGCCCAATTCTGGTGGGATTTCTCCGGTTAAACGGTTGCCAAGAAGAGAGCTGCATGCCGAAGAAAAGGCTTAAAGTTTACTACTTTCAGTACTCATACAGAAAAGACTATGAAACGAAGGGGTAAAAAAGAGATTCACATGTCTTGTAACTGTGTTAGACCCCATTCTGGCGGTATCGTGCCTTGTAAGTAATTGTAAGCAACATCACTGTAAAGATAACAGAATATACTTCAGTTTCCTTAAATCAGATAATGTTTTCAACGGATTATACTCCGTATCTTCAATCAAATTTGTATATTACTCAGTATATTCATCAATGAATATACACTATTCATCAACGAGTATACACTATTCATCGATGAATATAAGCTATTCATCAATGAATATAGGCTATTCATCAATGAATATAGGCTAACACTGCATGTAAAAGGAGACTTACAAGGACCGGAGGTAGGGAAGCTTTGCTAGTTCGGGTGAAAGAACCCCATCAAGACTATAAAACTTGTGTGTGCTGCATACACAAACAAATCAGATTAAGTTTCAAAATTTGAGGCCATTGATGTTAGGGCGTTGACTTTGAGGTCAAACATAAGCTAATTTGAACGCCAAATAGCGACCAACTTTAAAGATTTTCAAGAACAATCAAATAGCAACTTTATAACAACTAACAAATGCTAGACAATACGAAAAAGAGAAACGATCACGTAAAAGAAATCCATATCAGTTGCAGTTTGAATATAACAAGGTTTGACATCAAAAGTCAAAATGATGAATCATACTTCTAGTTAGAGACACAAGGCTCGGGCCTGGGCCTTCCAAGCCCGTTTTGAGTGAGCAAAAAAGACCAAGGCTTTTTTAGTCCTCGGCCGGGCAATGCAGTTGAAACAGGCCTGATCGGGCTTTTTAGGGATTTTTCAGGCTTAACCCGGCTTTTCCAGGCTTTTTTAGGTAGGGCTTTTTCGGTCCGCGCTTGCCTTCAAAATTTCAGTGTGGCCCGGACCGGGCATCGGGTTCACTAGGCCTGGGCTTTTTCAGGCCAGGCTTCGGGCTTGAGCTTTTTGTGCATCTCCTACTTCTAGTTAGTATGGCATGATATATATAAAAAGAATCACAAAAATAGCAAAGAAAGATGAGGACTTTATACATCCTTACGACATGACAATCGCTATCGTTCCCAACGGTACAATCGCATCCGACGCTAGCATTAGCTTCCTGTGTTGGCTTTGCCACTTCAGAAATGGTTTCAAGATTGCAACTGTCACCATTAAACCTCCAACTTGTTGCATTCATTGCAGCAAGAATGTTTCCAACAGCTTGCTCTAATTCCAAATAAAACAAGAAAACAGAAAAAAAATAATTAAACTTTATAAAACCAAGTGTACATGAAAGATAGCAAATGATCATTAAGTCAAATCACGTGTAGGGCCCGCTTGGTTTCACGAAATGTTTTTGAAAGATCTGGACTTCGTGGAAGGATTTTGAATATTTGGTGTGTTCGGTTTGTAGGATTTCGAATGGAATTGAATTCCATTTTTCATAAATAACTTCTAAAAACAAATTATAAAAATAATTAAATTACCTTTTTATTAATTAATTATCACAAAACAAGTGCTTTAACCCTATCAAATCCTCAAAATACCAAGTACCCATGAGATTCCTAAATCCCATTTTGTGGGATTTCATTGAAAATCCGTTTTCAATTCCGTAGTTTCTTTTAAACCAATTGCAAGATTGGAATCCAATTCCAAATCGATAAACCATACAGTCACGTATAATGATGGATATCAATCATTCGGGATTGCTTATTTGAAACAACTTATTAACTTATTATAAGTAAGAAGAGTTCAACTTCTTCAAAAACTTCTTCTTACCGGTTTAGCACCGGTATAAGTTCTTTATTCAATCACTCAAAAGTGCTTGTTACCGGTGCCACAGCGAAACAAGTCAATAAGTTACTTTTATAAGCAATCCCAAACACCCCTCAGTTCAATAAAACTCAATTTTGTCCCCAAAATCAATGATTAATACACCTCTAATCATGAAAAGAGGTACCTTTGACTTTTAAAGTCAACCCATCTAACTTGTAATTCCAATATCCATATGAATTCTTGAACTTAGTAAGAACAAGATCGGTAAAGATACCAAACTTATAACCAGAAATGCAGAAATGTATAACTTTTTGCTTCGAATTCGTAACATAAATCAAATTTTAGCATCAGATTTTCAACTGCTGATGGGCATCCAAGTCAAGGTTTCTTGAAGAAACAAGAACATAAATCTAAATCAAGAACTCAAAAACCCAATTTCTGAAACCAAAAAAAATGGGTTTTTTTAATGAAAAATCGTGTTACCTTCTTGTTGTGGGACGACGGATTCAGCAAATCTTAGCAAGACGACAAAGTTGAGGGTTAGGAAGAGGATGAATTCAGGTTTTTTTGCCGCCATTGTTGCAGAGCTCAAGAGCTTCGATGGGAAGAGAGGAAAAGATGGGTGTGAAATTATTTAGAGATGGTTTGCTGCAATTCTTGAAGAAATAAGTCAAATGTGTATAATATAGTAAGCTGTGCTGGTCCAAATCAAGCAGTCATCCATGAAATACTTTTTTTTCTCTTGGATTAAATAATAATGTAATAATAATTCATTTATAAAAATAATTTATTAACTTATTTCAATGTGACACTGATAACAAGTGTTTTTAAGTGTTTGGATAGACAGTTTATACCGATGTCAAACCGATTTAAATTATTCTGACTTATAATAAGTTGATAAGAACTTTTATAAAAAAGAATAAGTTGTTTCAAATAAGCAATCCCAAACACCTCTTAAATGGGTTTTAATAATTAAATTGTCTTTATAGATTAAAATAAGGAGGTATTCAATTAGATGAATTAAGCATGAACCAAATAACACCTAAATTTTTATATTATAGTCTAAACCGAATAACACCTAATTTTTTTGTTGTTTGTGTTTAATGAACGGTGGAAATGACATAAATTACAATTTTAACTTTCATAATTTTTTATGATATCTTTAAATTTATATTTTATTCAAAAATAAAAAATCATCGTTTTTTCAAAATCACATAAGATCATATTATAACATCGATTGAGATAAAAAAATGAAATATTAAAATCAAAATGTATCTCGGTGTATTACGCGAGTACTCTTCTAGTATTTCAATAACTTAAATAAGTTTTCTTTATCATTTTCTTTCGGTTATATTCATGATTATTACTAATTTTATTAATTATTATTAACCAAATGGGAAAACTAAAAAAGAGAAGAAAAATATGATATTTTTGGAAGAAAAAAGCCAGGCTTAATGGGTAAAGGCAGCATCAATTGGCAAGATGAATTAAGCATGTGTTTAGCATTTAACTTATAATAATACATTTTTGTATAAGTCAAGTCTCTTAAGCTAATTAATAATGGTCTTAATGAGTTGGGTTCACGTGAGACCAAAGATTTTTCGTGAGACTCGTAAGACCAATTTATGTTCATTGATCAACTTTATAAGTTAATGATCTAATGGTCTAAAGTTGCACGGTGGCAATTTTATGATTATTGAGAAGTCTCATGGCAATTTTGTAATTATGAATGTTCAGATTGTAGATCTAATCCAGATGTTGAAAATTGGTCTTAAGGGTCTTACGAAAAACTTTTAGTCTCACATGATCCCAAGTCTGGTCTTAATTTTTAGATATAAAATAATATTGGTCTTAATTTTTAAAATGTATGATTAAGAGAAAGGGAGAAAAAAGACTCCATTTTATCAAATGTCATTATCTTCTTGTTTTTTAATAAATAAAATAATTAGAATTAAACATATTAAAATTGCTTCAATTATTAGTAATATCTAACTAAGAATCAAACATTTTCCCAAAAGTCCGGTATTTTATTTGTATCGTTGAATTTATAATATATAAACGAAGCACGTGCACGTTCATGAGACGTGTTTTAAATGTTAACTTGATGTCTGCTTTTGGTATAGTCAATCATAACGAATTAAAAAAAAGTACAGTGGCTTTAATATGTTGATCTTTAGTCTCAAATCGACAAAAACTCGGTCCAGCATGCCATGCAGGCATTGGTTAAACCAAAAGTACTTGTACTATTTTACCTCTTTTATAGCTTCGTTTGATTGATACCCGTTGGAACCCTACATTGGTTAAATCTGTGCAATTTCTCCTCGAGATATGTTGTAACATTTTTCTCTTTTTAAGAACTCTTTTAAAGAGTACTCTATGTTCCACATTTTTCATAGGATATCAGAATAAAGATTTACTGATTTAGGGACACGATACTTTGATATCAGAATAAAGATTTACTGATTTAGGGATACGATACTCTGGGRAAATCTAAACTTGTCTAATCCCCTCTTGACAATATTGTTTATCGATATATAGGCATGGGAATGGGGCGGGGATGGGGCAGGGAACTCAATCCTCGTCCCCGTCCCCGATTACTTATCTCTATCCCCGTCCTCGTCCCTGTCCCCGTCCCCATCCCCATCCCTGTCCCCGTCCCCGTCCCCATCCCCATCCCTGCGGGGGAATATAATCACATCCCCATCCCCATTCCCAACGGGGAACGGGAATTTTTTTCTCGTTTATGTAACTTATTTTAAATTAAATACGTGAGAGACCATACATGTTTAAATCTCAAACATTTTCAATAAACCTAAAACCAAAATGAATTTAATTTAATAAAAAAAACCACAACATCATATAAGAATTAATAACCTAAAACCAAAAAAAAAAAATCAATTTAATCCAAAAAAACTTAAAGTCACATGTACCAAAAGATATTGAGTAATATAAAACCATATCGAATAATTGTATTTTGACTTACATCCAAAATATTACATATTAACATTTAAATAATAACAATTTTAGATTATCAACCTAATTAGGAAATAGGAAATTATAAATTACCACTTTAGTTGAAGTAAATTATATATATATATATATATATATATATATAATTTATTAATTAATACACATAACGGGTACGGTACGGGACGGGGCGAGGCGGACGATACCCGTCCCCATCCCCGGTTTGAGACAAACGGGGATTCTCGTCCCCATCCCCGATTTAGCAGGGAATCCCCGTCCCCGACCGGGACGGGTGGACCGGGTTTCCCGACGGGTCGAGGGTCATTCCCATGCCTATCGATATATGTTGAAACATTATTTTTTTATAAACTTTTTTAGATAATAATTTAGTAAGGGGCCGTTTACTAAATGCTTACTCGGGTAAGCGTTTATCAAGTCACATTTCTTTATCGGATGAATATGGCAAGGACCAAAAATCTAAGCAAAGGCACGAACCGAGAGTTTTACCCGGTAAGTGATGGCGACGACTCTTACCACGGTTAGCTCTTACCGGATAAATTGTTACATATGATATTGTTTTGTTAGACTAAAATCTTACCCAATAAATAAGAAATAGAGCTGAATTTTACCATTAAATGTTTACGAGATAAATATTTTGATAGACAGCTCCCAGAGTTTTCAAAATATATGTAATTAACATTATTAGTAAAAAAAAAAAAAAAAAAAAGGTGTAGGTAAGGGTAGTAATTGGGTGTATCTTTGACCAAGAATTATATACTATAAAAACCCAATCCAGTTGGTCATATTTGGATAGCCATGGCCATGATCAATTTGTCACATTATTGGCATTGGGTCCCAAATCTAACCTGCCATGCAAACCAAGCTTTTCTTGATTGATTTTATATTTACATTTTTGACCCTCATCTTTTTCAATTATTCATTCTTAACATATTATGAATGATTTTTTACATGAAATTTGAAATAAGTTCTCTTGATGACACCTTAATCATAACTATATTCAAAACTTTATTCAGAATGGCATTTTAGTCATTTCCTTATTTTCTATTTAATAAATATATATTATGTTCATAATTCAATTAATCAGTGTCATCTTTTCTGAAGACTAACCAACAACATCTCGTTGTCATCCATATCGACTTCTTTAGCCATCTCTCTCTCTCTCATCCACAAACATCGATCTCCATAACGGCATACGATCTATGAAAACCCAGTTGCTTGGTCAATTTAGTTTAAATTACATCTAAAAACACAATCCAGTGAAGGAGTTGTAAATATGGAGAAGACACGAACATCAAAAACACAACAACAAATTGTAGAAACACATGTTTTATAAACTCTAAATCAAGTTAGAACAAATGCACAAAATGTAAATCTGACAAGTAAAAACCCTAAATCAATTTCAAACGAAAAAACTCTAAATTGTATAAACACTTATGTCGGCCTATAATCTTCAAGGAAGTCCTTGTGATATTCAACAACTTGAACTTCAAAGTTCTGATAGAGGTCTTACGATCCTCAACAAAGAGAGATCTGTTTAGATGAATGCATCACAACGGAGGAATAACGATAGAGTCACAGTAGGGATCTGGTGGTTGACAGAGATGGGTTAGAAAATCGGTAAGCGATCTAGTTGTGGGTTAGAAAATCATAAGGGATATGGGTTAGATAATCGACAAGGGATGTGGTTTAACGGTCTTTAGAAGCGTGATGCTGCTTCTGTTCCGATGGTCGTGTCAGGAGGTGGAGGTGGAGGTCAAAGATGGTGACAAGGAGTAAGACGTTAGAGATGGTGACGGAATAGAGGTTGGAGATGGTCTTGGTAAAAGGGCCGACGAGATTTTCATCTAGGACTTCAAAGGCTTACATTTTTCGTAAATGACGCACTGTGTGATTTCATATAAACCATATGGATCAATAATGTAATTTACTCTATAAAGAATGCTATATGGTCGCCGCCATCACGAGGCCCGAGGGGGTTGTGGGGAAGGGAGGAGACGATTGAATACAGATCACATATTTTCAAATTCAATTTTTTTTTCATGTATCATTAATTAGTAATTGACTCATTATTATTTTATTTTATTCTATTCATGCTATTTAATTTAATATTTTGATTTTCAATATGTAATAAATTAATGATGTGTCAACGGTTGATTGGCGTAAAAAAAAAGACCAATAATTTGTATTCCACAGTGAACTGATGTGTTGAGAGGTGTAAGATTCAAACGCATACTCGTTATATCAAGATTAATTTTTTTCCTTTTAATATCAGATATATTAGTTTTTCTTATATTTATCAGGGTCAACAGGAAACAGTACACTTAAAAAGTCTAAAATGAGAGAGAATTTGGTTGTCAAATTATATGGTATAATATTATTTCATGATATTTTAATGAATTTTATATCATATTTTATGATAATTTTAAATTTTAAAATTTGAAATCGAATGATTAATTATTATCTTACGTTGGATTGTACACATAACAGCTTGAAAGTTAGATAGTCTTCTTTGACTTTTTTTTTTATAGGTATGAATGACTTGTCTGACCATTTTTTATAATTTTAGGGGTTGTTTGTTTACATCTTAATGATATTATCCAAAACTTAACTTTGAATCACCCACATGTTAAACTAGTTCGGTAAATTTTTAGTGACCTTTCAAAT